TGTTGCTCAGGGGTCCTTCGGCCTGACGGAAGGAAGCGTGTGTGATTGGTAATTGATGTAATGTATAATTTGACTTGCCGGTGGAATAGGAACCGGACTGACGCTCCCCAGAATAGAAGGAGCCAGGACCATAAGGCCCTGTTTATAATAAAAAAAAAAAAAAAAAGGAATACGTGCAGTGCAGCATGTTAAAAGCATGAGTAGGAGAGCAACAGTGGTAGTCCTGAAATAGAGCCTTCATAATTAGGAAAAGATACACAAGATTACCTAGGTTCTAGGGTTTATGAATTAGGAGTCTCGCTAAAACTATAGCTGAGGGTTTAGGGTTTAGGGTTTTAGACAATCAAGGCAAATAGGGTTCAGACTGGTAGGGATCTCATGAGGCACATGAGCGGGGATCAGAGTTTAGACAGAATTGGCAGCCTTTGTAGCGTCCAGGCCCTTTCTTGCCATTTATGTTCTATCTGACAGGCCATTATAGTGGACCTGAGAGGAAAGGGAAAAGCACGACAAGCTGACAGTCAATCCTCCACGATGCTGGAGTAATCAATGCTGGTCAGGGTTCCTTCAGCCAGATGGAAGGAAGCGTATGTGGGTTCATGATGTAATATTTCTTCTGACTTGCCGGTGGAACAGGAACCGGACTGATGCTCCCCAGAATGGAAATGGAGCCAGGACCATAAGGACCTGTTTTTTCAACAAAAAAAAAACGAAACTTCGAAATGGGGAGACCTCGGCGGCCATTGGTTCCATGCATTACCCGCCTGCCAAAAAGAAGGAACCCCAAAGCTCGTTAATGGCCGAAAGAAAAGAGTAGCAGAACACAAGGCTTCAGAAGTTTGTTTGAGCACAGAAGTTGGCATGTCACACTATGGCTGTGTCAGCTGCTAGGTTCAAGACATTCCCAGGCACCCTGGCCGCTTGATAATAATACCATGCGCTGGGGGCTGCTAGCCTAATGGACAGAGTATGGTAAAACATGACAGAACTCGGGTCCTAAAAAAACAGAACCTTAATGGGGCAAGGGCGAGGAGGGGAAGCATGAAGAGCGAGATGGGAGGAGGGTGGGGAGGACGACCAGCAGGAAAGAGAAGTACAGTTGGTACACACTCGACAGTTCTCCCCATTATGGTTGGGAGGCCCGAGTGGATGACATTGATTACCTCCAGTGGGAAGGATGTACCGCCCCTCACCTCTGCCTAATCTGGCCTCATTGACATATCTCCTGAAGCTAACTGATACTGGGGACTTCGCTTCTTGGTTGGCCTTTTGTCTGTAGCATTGATTCCGGATCTGCCTCGTACTTGCTCCTCTCAGCTGCTAGGCCGTCGAATACTCTTGGATACCTAGGGTTGTACACTTCTATTTCCTGGCTTTCCTTTCTTGACGACTCCTGCTACTACCCTGTCCGACAGCGTAGCCGTGGCTTGCAACTATCTTAGGAGAATTCTGTATAAACCCTAAACCCTACGCTATCTACGGCTTATGCTACTCGCTTGAGTCTATGAATGCTCGTTGTACGGAGTGTGCTACTTCTTTCTACCTGTATCCAATACTCTGAGGCCTGCAATTAAGGGAGGCGTGCTTGCTCTCTTATTCGTCCTTTTCTTCCCTCGGTGGGTACGTAAGTTCCTTATCTAGAGCCTATAGACATACTTGTGAGGTGGGCCCTACTTTAGGCATCTGTGAGATTTGGGGTTGGGTTAGTCTACTGTGTCTCCACTGGCCGAACTGTCTTTGTCATTGACTATCATTGCTATTTTCCCTTCTCCTAGTTGCTGCTTTTTTAACGCACCTATGATTTTATCCTTTTTTTTCCCTTTTTTCTTTTCAAAAACAGGTGGACCACCTGCCTCGCGTATCCGCCTCCTGCCGTTTCCTTGCTTTTCCTCCCAAGGCCCCCGAAGCTCTTCTTCTTCCCGTTCGTTAGCCTCCGACTCCCGCTCATCATCTTCCCAGAGTCGCCCCCTCCCAAACACTGCTCAAGAAAAAAGTGATCACCTGTTTTGAACTGTTTTCCCTCACCTGCCTTTCCTCCCAAGCCCCCCGAAGCTCTTCCTCTTCCTGTTCGCTAGCCTCCTACTCCTGCTCATCATCCTCCCCTCCTCCTTCCGCTCCTCCAGTTCACTGTCCTCCTCCTTCCACTCGTCATCTTCCCCCTCCTCCTCCTATCGCGGGTCCTCCCCTTCCCCTCCTCCTACACCCGCTCCTCATCCTGCCCCTGCTCCCCTTCCTGCTCCTCGAGCTCCTAATCCCTGCCCCTCCTCCTTGACCTGCTCCTGCTCCCGTTCACTATCCTCCTCCTCCCGCTTGTCGTCTTACAGTCCCTCCCTCGCGAACACCACCCAAAAAAAAAAGTGTTTGTAAGCCTCTTCCTCCTGCTCCTCCTGGCACTCCTCCTCCAGTTCACTGTCCTCCTCCGTCCGCTGGTCATCTTCCCCCTTCTCCTCCTCTCGCTGGTCGTCCTTGCCCTCTACCTCCTCCCCCTCCTCTTCCCGCTCCTCCTACACCCTCAAAAAAGAAAACCCCGCCAATTCGGCGCCAAAGAAAAAAAACAACGTGTGGGCCCTCATTCCACTACTTTGCGCATTTGGAGAGTAGCAGAGCGATGCCCTTCAAAACTACGGGCCACACTCCACTACTCGCCACATGCACACAACGCAAAAAATATGGCAATGTATGTTTCCATGTTCTAGCACTGAATTCAGTCTCACTTTGCACATTTGGCGAGTTGCGGAGCAGCCCTATGAACAGCACAAAATGACAAAAAGCAAAGATATGGCCTGCGCTGCACTACTCTCCTCATGCACAAAAGGCAAAAAATCCCGCTATGTAACTCGCCATGTTACAGTGGAGGATTCGGTGTCATGTTGTTTTGCATTCAACGGGCGGCATTTTCCTCCATCAGACCCACATCACGAAACTTCGGCCGATTTCAACTGGCGGCCAAGGGAAGGCACTGCGAGCATACAGGACCCGCTGTTGTTATGTACTTGTATTCAAACATTCGAGATTCGGGCGCTTCCCAAGTGCGCGGCCTGCTGGTACCGGCCCCTCCCACTATTTTTCTTGGGCCCATGGGGATCGTGACGCATGACTTATCAAACTTCCTTATTGAGCTTATGTTCTGACAGGTATGTTGAGAGTTTTTATGGCTCTGGAAGTATCGTGAAATTGAGGGTCTCAACCACGGTTGCCAACCGGACGTCCGGATCCCGATCCAGACAGTCCACTGTCCGGTGTCCGGGTCCATTGTCCGGTTCGGAGGGTCCGGTTGGACCCCGATTTTTTTTAAAAAATAAAAAAAAATTGGGGTCCCCAGGCCGTTTTCCTGGGCTTGGGGTACCCTGGAAAAATATCGCTGATGTTTTGTGCAAACCGGTAACCCAACCAGCCGGGCCCTGAAAGGGGCCTCTGTATGAAAAGTTGAAAACATGGGAGCACAGTAGCAGCCCCACCGGCGGGAGGACCCGATTTTCGAACATGTGGAGGACACGATTTTTGAACATGTGGAGGACACAATTTTCGAACATGTGGAGCACAGTAGCAGCACCGAAACCGGCCCAACGTAAACCAGGGAGGCCACGGAAGGTTGTGGAGGAGGGGGCTGCAATCGAGGACAGTGGTGGGACCAATGAGAATGTTGCGGAGAAGGAATACTGTGACTCCCAAGAGCAGCCCGCTGGTGCCACACCCAAACTGGCGGAAAGCAAGCCGGGGAGACCACGGAAGGTCGCAGAGGAGGAAACTGCTGCAATGGAGGAGAGCGGTAGGACTGGAGAGAATGGTGTGGAGGGCCGGGAGGGGTCCGGGAGGGGTACGCCTTTGATTCCGAAGAAAATCCGCTTGCACGCAAGCAACGCAAACAATCAGAGTCAACAGACTGAGGCGGGATATTTGGGGGTTGGACGGGTGTGGAACTGACACTTGGGGGCTGGAGCGGGTGTGGAACTTTGCTGTGTGTGTGTGTGTTTGTGTCATGTGTGCCGGTTCAAGATTCCAAGTTCCGAATTTTGAGGTTCGGAGTTAATAAACTCAATATTTCCAATATGATTAAAAATTAATTTATTAGCATGTCCGACCAGTCCCACAAACCTGTGTGTGTCTGTGTACGTTTTTTTTTTTTTTTTTTTTTTTTTTTTTTTTTTTTTTTTTTTTGTTCCCCGGACAACCAGACACTGATACACCAAACCGGACTGTCCGGGTCCGGATGTCGGGATGTCCGGTTAGATGTCCGGTTTAATCCAGACACGGGTCCGGTGTCCTTGTCCGGGTGTCCGGGTGTGCGGGTCCCGGGCAACCATGGTTTCAACCCTGATCCTTATTTTCCATATTCTCTAAAATTTTCCTGAACATCCTCTTCCACAGCCCTCTATTACTTGTAAAACTCCTTCCCACACCTCTTGAACAGACATTGGTGTGCAATCAATGATCTATTGGCATTTGTGCTTCCATATCATCCAAAGCGTTGCTACCAGTATGCGGAAGAATGTGGTCTCAAAACCAAGCCAGGTGTGCTTTGTGTGGAGTCCTAGTCGGATGGGGACTGGGTCCGTCGGAACAGCTTTGCGCATTATTGATTGCCATAGTTCAGGTGTGTTTAGTCCAGATTTGCTTTGCCTTTTGGCAGTGCAATAATCAACGGGCCACATCCTCTCTACTGGGCCCCTCCTGACAGATAGCGCAGAGTTCCTGCAAGGGCGACTGTGACTGTCACTGCGCCTTTTGTTCAGCGATTGGTTGACAGGTAAGGCTAGGTATGGTAGTTGCCACTGGCAGCTTCCTATCTTAGTGGACTTTATGGCAAGATTTCTGTTCCAAGACGAAATGCGGGTGTTGTCCGCTGGTTGATTGAGATGTGCTTCCCATCTTTGGCTGATGATCTGTGCTATTTTTTAGCTGTTTATTGACAGTTAGATATATGTGACCCTTCAGCCACAAGGCAGGGATTTCATGAAGGCTATCCTATCTCTCACTTATTGCTCAACTATGTGCCACAGGTTTCATGAGAGCAAAGAGGCCCCTGTGCGGTCCAAGGACGTTGGCCAAAGGGTCAAGCAAGTGGCAAGAGAAAGTGATGCTGCAGACTCAGCAGCAGGGCTTGGCGCGAAGGAGCCATCTGCCACTCCAGGGATTCTCTGTTCCTCACTTTACAACACTTCACCACCTGTACAAGGACCGCATGCGGTCATCATTGCCTGGAGGGATAACCTTAAGAAAACAAGAGTGCAAGAAACAGTATGCGACCGGCCAAAGTGGCAGGCATGATGAGTGTCTCTTTCACCTATGCAACATTTCCTTGAACCAGCCAGTGGAGATGTTTTCATCAGCGGCATTTTTTTTCCATTTCCTGAACTTGAAAGGCTGGGGATGGATAGGCTCAGTGGGGCCCGCAGCCATTTCTTTCTGGTATATGTGTACAAGTTAGTTGCCGGAAAGGGGTATAAATCCTGCCGATCGTTATCATCATATCCTTATGGGTGCAGCAGGATTTGAACCTGTGACCATCAAGTCAAAAGCCCAATTCTCTACCAACTAATCTATAGAGCCAGAATTCAGATAGGTTTAGTAGGATTTGAACCTACAATATCACCGCTGTGCGCGGCAGTGTGGGGGGGTTGGTACAGGGTGCGATGAGCGAGGGTCCTTTTTGTGGCCAACCAATCGTGCGGCACAGTTTCTTTGTGGTGTTTTGCTGCATCTCACCCCATGGGCAAGCAATTGTCATTTATCATTTCTGATTTTTCTCTTTCGAATATTACTTCTCAGTTGCCGCAACGCCTTTGAGTGCATTTATTCGGAGGTTCAGCAAGTAGGTTTGGATTCTTTGGAAGGTCTCTGCAACCAGCTTGAATAGGTTTGGAAAACCAGGAAGAGGAGGTTCAGGGGCATTGCCATTGTTACTGATGGTTGTTGAAACAGCCTGTTATATTATTGCTTAGTCATCTACTTGTAGGGCTGTGAGTGGTATTGAGCTGAAAGCTAGGTACTGCCATTATTGTATGCCCTTTTTAAAAATAACTATGACAGCTTTGCTGTCATATGCCTCATGAAGGCCACCTTGTATTCATCTTCGCAATCTCCTCAGTGACAACATCCAACATCTTGTTTGTTTACAACGTGTGACAATCCTGTCTCTCTCTCTCTCTCTCTCTCTCTCTCTCTCTCTCTCTCTCTCTCTCTCTCTCTCTCTCTCTC